CCTGTCCCGTTCCTGTCCCGGCCCCGCACCGCTCCCGGGAGGCGGTCCCGTTCCTGTCCCGGCCCCGCACCGCTCCCGGGAGGCGGCCGCAGCAGCCGGGAGCCCCAGTTTAAACACGCCGCAATTATCTAAATCCTGATCTGAGCGCTCTGTGTCGGTCCGTGACTCTGCAGTAATTGGCTGTGGTGCACGAAGCGCTGCGGGCCGAGAGATGGAGATCAGCAGCCTGTCCCTGTCCCTGCGCCTTCAGCCAGCGGCACTGCTGAGTGCGACCAGAAGTAAATCAGCAGGTGAATAACGCCGAAAGTACAAATTTCAGTTTAGAATTACCCGAAAAATAAAGGAAAATGCAGCGAGGGAAACGGAAACCCGTGCAATTTGCACACAAAGATACAAATTGTAATGCTGAAATGTGAGGAAAACCGCCCAAATTCATCTAAAAACATGACACTGATCATTTTCAAGATGCACACTGTATGAAATACAAGATGCCGAAGTGGTTTACTAAGCTATACATTCAGGTGCAATGGCATAACTAAATACTAAAACCACAGGAAAAATAATATTGTAAAAATCCCTAGAAAATGAAAACTGAATTTGAAATGCGTTTAAGTATTTCATCGAGGCATACATAGATTAACATATTTTAAATAAAGCCGAGAAGAAAGCTAGAAGATATCTTCCCAGAGCACAGAGAAAACCCCAAACAATAATAGGTAGCACATAAAAAATGAGTAACAGATGGACCAACTGGAGGATTGTGCTTAATGTAATTAACATTAGCACTTACTGGTAACGGTTAATGGTCCTATACCATCACACCTCCCAAAACAAAGCCTGATCAGGGACGCATCAAAAGGCACGAAGTGAACCCTGAGGCATAAATGCCATTTAGATCGTGTTGAAGACATTTTCATCAATCTTCACGAGAAGTAACAGCTATTGGAGAGAAAGAGATTGTGAGCAAGTTTCCATCTTGTAATCTCTGCATTTTCTTAAGTAACTAGACTTCTCCCCAAAATATTATATATTGCTAATTTCTTCTCATGTCTGTGCTGCTAAATCTGAAAGATGTACATCCCTTCAGCTGTCATTCAATAGTGGAAACTTATCTGAAAGCATGGTTCTGCATTTTGAGACAGGAGTATGAAGTTACTGAAATGCTTCAAGAATCCAAAGAAAGATTTAGTATGTACCAGATAAGTGTTTAAAAGGTGGAAATATTCATGTCACTAGAAAACCCTTTGCATTTTTTATTAAAGTTTGAAAAAAGTTCCCACATAAGGTTGCTACAGTGCATTTTTTTTCTGTCACAATTGTAGTTCTATTTAAAATTGAATTAACTGATTGTTCATTCAGAAAAGGGGTATTATAAATTTATAAAGATTATTATAATTATAATAATAATTATATAATTATTATATTATAATAATTATTATAATAATTTATTAATTATTCTAAATTATAAAGAAAACCCCTTTTTGCTCATAAAATCTTCTATTTGAAAGCTTATCAGTGTTGTAGGACTTACTTGAGAAAATAGAATGTGCTTCACAAGGCAAACCCAGATGGCATTCACTGGGTGCTGTGGTTGGCTTCCTTTTAGCTTCTTCTTCATCATGTTTGAGAACAAAATGAAAAAAAAGCCAAAGCCTTAAGTCCTTCCTAAAAGCAAATACTACGGAGGAGAGATACCTTCCGGATTATTTCGTGTTCACGAGCACAGAGCCGGTTTGTGAATCGGCATTTTTGCCTTGTCTCTGCAGGACAGGTTCTCCAGTGCCATCTCCTGGTGGGCACGACCGGCGGGAACCGAGTGTGGAGCCGAGCCCCATGAAGGGCTGAGATGATGAAATGTCAAAATAGATATTTATTTCTGCCAACTTATTAAACAGAATGATGCAATCTAGCAGCAGATAATTTTTTTTTGTGTATATGAATTGTATAATTTGTACCATACTTTGTAATCCTCCAGTACATACACACACATATATACATATATATGAAATATATAAGATTTATATATATATATATATAAATAAATTACTTATATAGAAATAAATGGAGCACACAGAGCATTACTGCTTCATGTCTAGAATACGGGAGGAAGATTTTTTTTTTCAAATAAATGCAAATGTGAAGATAGGGGTTTTCTTTGTTTGTTTGGGGTTTGTTTGGTTGAGTATTTTTGAGGGGAGTTAACTTTCTTATTTTCATAATCTAATAACAATTTTCTCTATTGAGTATACAATAAAAGGACATCCCCGTCTTCTCTGCCCCAAAAAACAGGCAATTTTTTGCAAAGGAGAAGAGGGTCACTGTCATTATCATCACTTTATTGCTGACTTTACAGCAACCCCTCTGTGCCATTTTGAATTATATATGTGAACAGAGGACAGAGGTGGAGAAAAACAAATTGGTGCTGAGACATTACTGCAATTCCAAAGCAGGACAGAGCACCCACAGACAGAATCCTGAGCTGTGTGAGTGTGGCATTGTCCTGGATGGAAGGCAGAGGGGCCTGCTGAGGATACGGCAGGGAGGGCTGTCAGCTTCCACGGCCCCTGCAGATCACGGAGCACAGCAGCACCTCTCTGCACATTTTTAATTGTGCAAGGCAACTGGCAGCTGGTGTGAGTTGGAGATATTCTTCATCTTCTCTAATTTATTTTGGAAGTTGATTGGGAATGCAGGAGGCAAATGAGCACAGAAATGGCTCTGAGTTACCTTGTTCCACGTCCTCCCCCACTCCTCCCACTCATCTGCACAGCTCTGCCCCCACGGCCATCCATCTCTCCACCACAGCAGTAACACACACAAATGAACTTCCAGCAGGTGCTCCATTTCTTCTCTGTCGCCTGTAGGAAGCAAAATATCTGATCCATTATTTTTTGCTTCCTTTAATATTCTAATGTCTGTATGTCTTGTTCTCAGTCTCTTGTAAACTACCTCACCATAATGGTCAAGAATATTATCTCTAGTTTGCATCTCAATGCAAAGAAATGAAGATATGTTCTCTTACACTTAACTGGAAACAAAACAAAGTTGCCTTTAGCATAAAGTCTATTTGACAATTTCAATCCTTTGTAAAAGGAATTCATAGAAAATATTAATTTTTTTCTTAAATAAATGTTAGCCCTAAGGCTGTTAGAAGCAACTTCTGATGGTTGATGCATGAAGTCCTGGGCCACTAGAGATGGACACTGAATGCCTTCTTCTCTGAGTCTGATGTGGACTCTTGTCTGTTTCTTCTCAAATATTGCTGTGAATCCTTTTACAGAATTCCCTCCAACCTGGTCTAAGAGAACATCAGAATTTGGCTGGATATTTTCTTGCTAGTTTGGTTGCCGACTAAAACAATTCTATTGGCCAGATAAATGAAAGCTGCTATCTCTTTAAACTGAAAACATAGAACTAAGCAGGGTTGTGTGTCTGTCCTTCAGGGTGATGAGCACAGGTGACACATTGGGGTTAACTTGGAGTGAGAATGAGACACATTGTTGATGGACAATGTAATGGGTAGGATGGCATGGGCTTAAGCCATCCAGGGAGACTTCAGCTTCCCTGAAAACCTCTCAGGGATCATTTTTTCAGAGACCCAAACTAGGATAGGCAGGACTTCCCTTCTGCCATTCCTACAAAGCTAAAAATGAGAAAAAGTACAAAATACTGTAAATGTAATGTGGTCCCATACTGGGCCAGATCAAAAGTCCTTCTAGCCTGGTGATGGTGTTTTCAGCAGATCCAGCCCAGATAGTTTAACAAGGAGCAGAAAATGGTGCAGTGCCACCAGTCATGATGGCTCAATGCAGAACCACATTGCAGCAGAAAAAGTGAGGGTCTCCATCTGCTCCTTTTCCCCCTCTCTCCCTGTCCTTATTCTCTCCTGGCTCTGTGCTTCTGTTTCTTATCCTGCATGTGTGAAGGCGTTTGTCAGGGCTTCTATGAGCCAGTGTAGCCAGTTCAGTGACAAAAGAGTTTTCTAAGCTGAGTCCCACGGACACCAGATCTGTATCAGGGGATGGAGCAGACCACACCAACAAGAGCAAAGGGAAGAGAGAAATAGAGCAGTAGGCAGAGGGACTGAGCCTTCCCGCCCTGAGCAGCAGCAAGCGTTACATTTCCCCAGCTGCACAGGTGGCAGCTGCCCTGCAGCGGCCTTTACTGAGCCCTCGGGTGCTGCATGCGCCGATCTGTCCCCTCGGGCTCACTGCCTCAGCCCCTAACCCGAGGGTGGGAATAGAGCAGCGCTGCCCACCGCTGGCCAGGCTGACTCCTCACTGCTGCTCCCTCCTGCGCACGGCTCCCAATGTCTGCTCACAGCACCACTGAACGAGCTGCCCCAAACTTGCAACAGAAAATTGGAAATCAAGGTGATCCAAGAAACTTGTAACTACCTGTGGATCTACAGTAGAGGAAATGGACTATAAATTACTTGAGATGGAGTAAACCTGACACCAGCTGAAATTGCCAACCCTCTTCTATAATAAATAATTTTACAAGTACAAATCTATCAGAAGTAGGGATTCTTGCTGTTGTGAACCCCTCAGTTTAAAAGAAAACCAAACAAAAAGAAACAACCTACTGAAAGTTGCCTTTCAATTCTGGACAACTGCAACCCTTAAATTAATTTTGGAAAGAATATGTAGTCATTCTCTTTACTGATAGTTTTACAGAGCATCAGTCTACCTAGGGGTGACATGGATACAGAAGAACAACAGATGATAGTTTGAAATAGATCTTTAAAAATACATCTTAATGTTATACTCTCTATTTCTGCTTCCACCGCTTTTTAAAAGTCAGTTTTAAAAATGCTAGATCTCATTCTCCATTGTCTTGTCATTGGTTTTTAAGTTTTTTGTGTTGTCAAAAAGATTCTGTAAATAATACAGCATGAAGTCTGAGGATAAACATACAGAAATACAAAAATCATGGATTTCTTCTCCACTGCTTCACAGGGGAAATTGTCAACTACAGATCTGCAAGACACCTGAAGAGTGGCCAGGTGAGAATTCCCCACTCCTATTGGAAGGAGAGGTTAACATCCCCTTTCAGCAGTGACCCCACTCTGCAAAGCAGTGGAGAGCAGGGTTATTTCTCTTGTTCAAGTGAGCATAAACAACTGGATGCTCTAGCAAACTCACAATAGGCTACTAAGAAAGGGCCAGATGCTCTTATCCATTTGTGAGGGTGAAGAGGAACAAAATGAGTAAATATTTATATTATCATAGTGGCATGTAACTGGAGCTCAGTTGTAGAGAAAACAGTGATTTACAAGCATGTTCCTCCTCTCTTGGGAATCCACACAAACCAAGCAAAGTTTCAGCACTGAGAAAAAATTCTGACAGAAGGACTAAGCCAGATGAGAGAGCTACAGGTTTTTAGGACACACTGGACATACATCTCTGGGATGAGATGATGATTTGCAAAGAGAAATGTTTTCCTGGGCACGAGTCATCACAAATTAACAGGAAGGATCTACCTGGTACACGAGAGAAGTGATTGTGCATTGTGGCACACAGCTTCAGTCCCAGCACCCCAGAAATAGTCCCACCCAGAGCTTTGGGCTAAAGCTCAGCATTAAGGATGTCTCAGCAAGAGTACTCCAGCTAGAATATCCTTAACTGTTACATCACTGCCTGCCCATGCCAGAACTCCACTACACCCTTTCTCCAAAGGATCCATAACAGGCTACAGTGTGGAGACCATTCCTTGTCCACATTTCTCCCACAGTCACTTGGAGTCACAGCCATCAGTTTTCTGGCACTGAGCACCTCAACAAGGCTTGCCTCTTCCCTCCTGAAATATCACAGAAAGTTAATTTTGCACAAGAACTTACAACAAAATATTTTGGGGTTTGGACATATTTTTGGTCCTCATGGACATTTGTCTTTGAAAGTCCTTGGGACATGACTGCAGTTTATTTATGTCTAGGTTGTGCTTGGTTTCAGCCCTAGGGCTGAAATATATAGGTATGTATATACATATATATGTGTATTTATATGTACATACCTCCTGTAGGTGAATTTTAAGATTTCCTCCAGACAATGAAGGGCAATAAAACCACACTCTGCAGGAAGTGATATAAGAACGAAAGTGCTTTTTTGATGACAAGATAGCATCTTTTCTGTGAATCTTTGCAGTGAAAGAGGGAAAACAAAGTGTGCTATCTAATGCTTATCCTGTCCTTTGTGGATTAGAGATTGAGACACCTCCTCAAGAAACGGAGAAGAACATCATGTCAGTGTAGTTTTGGGATAATCACACCCATAGCTGGGATGGTTAATGTCCCAGGAGCATCTCTGAGAAGCAGTCACATGTGGTGACACACACTCTTAGGCATTTACACGATGTTGTGAGCTGACAGTGACAGTCAGGGGGGTAAAAGGGGAGCAATGACAGGAATGGCAGAGGAAGGCAATCCCTTACAATGTGGTGATGTGTATAACTCAGAATATCCTCATATACACTTACAGTGCTTAGCAAGAGTTTCAGCTGTGGGAGTTACATTGTTCTGTGATGGGAAATGATTGTCCATCATGCCCAGCTCACTGTGGAGCACTTAAAGCACAGATCCAGGTGTGAACTCACTCCAAGAGGTAAAAACAAAGCCGCATTACGTAATAAGATTTAATGATTATTTGAATCTCTTTTTCCATCCCTGTGGATCATTGATTTAACCTTTCTTGTTTTGTTCTCAGGATATTGCTTAAACAAGTAACTGTGTTCTGAGATTAATCAGGACCATTTTTGTGTATAACCCTTTAAGAGTGTTTTTGCTTTAACTTTCTTC